AACAACAACAAAGCCACCCAATTCAAAACTGGGCAAAGAACTTGAATAGACATTTTTCAGAAGAAGATACACACATGTCTATTAAATCAGCATATGAAAAGATACTCAATATCCTTAGACTTTAGGAAAAGACAATCAAAACTACAGTGAGATATGATGTCAGACTCAATAGGAGGGAATGTAGAATAATACACATTTTTCACGAACTTTTCATAAAGGAGGAGTCTTCAAAAAGGTCAAAGAAAACGCTATGCATGGATTTTGAGATATTTTTACATTAAATAAGCTTATCCTTTAATTCCAATTCCCCTGAACTTTTTGAAGTACCCTTGTATAATAAAATATTCAGCCTTAAGAAAGACTGAAATCTGAATAAGTACTACAACATGGATGACTCCTTCAACACTGTGCTAAGTGCCATAAGCCAGACTCAACAGGACTATCATGGCCTCACTTATATGAGTTACCTAGTGCAGTGAAATTCATAGAAAGGAATTAGGATATCGGTTATCAGGGGCTGGAGACAGGGGTCAGTGGGGAGCTATTGTTTAATGGCTATAAGAGGAGTTTCAGTCTGGGATCATGACCAAATTCCGTAGATGAACAATGGTGATGATTATACAATATGAATGTTCTTGACGCCACCAAATGGTACATCAACAAATGGTTTAAACAGTATATTTTATCTGTATTTTCCTACAATAAAAGAAAATGTGAATAAAGTAAGAATACAGAATCTTTCTTCTGGAGGTTTTGTAGTTGAAGTTTGATTGCTAGTATGGAGAAAAATCCTACAAGATGCCAGGAAGACAGGAAAGTCCACAACCTCTACATCATGCTTGGCTCTTCTCACAGTAAGCCCTGTGGAACCAGGCAGGGCTTTCTACTTTCCAGTGCCCACATAAGACAGAAAAACAGATGGTCCAGACATTAATCTAGCATCCCTACCTCATGTCTTTAGTTACCAAGTCCAACTATGTTCAAAAATATACCCCTTTTTCACAAACTGTGGAACTCCCAACAGTGCAACTCCCAACAGATGTGTGGACAATAGGTGAACATGCCTCTCTCCAGACATGCTGATGTGAAGGGTGAGATGAGTCAGGTCAAGAGTAACAGGGATCCTGATCAGAAATGGTAGACTTCCTCTCCATCTCCTTCACCAAGGTCCAGTCCAAGATTCAAGTGTCCCAAGGTGTTTCGACGAAGGATCTCCCAGCCCCGGTGACTGTTGCTGCTTTGGGATGTGGTTCGAGATAGGGAGGGGGTTTGGAATGCCACAGAGGCTCTGGATAGCATCCCGCTCTCAACCGTAGAGGGCCGCTTCTCAGAAAGTTGTTCTTGTCCATCCTCCTTGTCTGAGCACTTGAATGCTTCCACATAGCGAAGCACTCGCAGAGGATTCTGGTCATGATGGTTCTCAACCCTATTGAGGGGAAAAAGAAAGGACTCAGCCAAGGAGGTGAGAGTGGACACAAGGAGATGCAGAGGTGAACACAGAAAATAGAGGATTCGAGGGAAAGGAAGGAGGGACCAGCGTTGAAGGAACAAGAGCCTCTAGGATCAAGTAAGGAGAAGGGGACTGGAGTGGAAGCTAAAGAGGTCAAGCAAGCAGGATTTGGAGGGTACTAGGACATGAGTTGAGTGTATGTGAGTGTGAGTGTGTATGTATGTTACTAATGGATGGGAAGTGAAGGAAAAAAGAGAGGCAATGAAGAGATAACTGTGTCACAAGAGTGAGGAGATGCAACTCAGGAAAGACGTGAGGAGAGAGAAGAGCCAGGTTAGACGAGAGTGGAGCATGGAAGAGGCAGAGTTGACATAGAAGATACTGGAAATGGGGGTTGTCTGGGACAGGAGTAACACAAGTTGAGAGACCCATGCTCACACCTGAGCACAGTCACATAGACCTGATCTCCCCTGCATAGCTACCCTCAAGTACACAGAGCCTGCACCTGCTGCCAGCATTCCTCCTACGTCTCCACCTCAGCTCCGCCCCTCCCCCCAAAGGCAGAAGCACTCTCAGGATGTGTCTCCACTGCCCTGGCTCCCATGACTCTCACCCATCTGCAGTCGACACACACTCTGCTGTCACTCACCGCAGGAACCAGCGGTCTCCTAGTCCATACTCATACCCACAGATCCCAGAGCGAGGCCACAGGAAGCGAGGCATCTTCCGCTCCAGCATCACGGTGGTGGCCACAACCTAGAAGGAGGTGAGAGAGGAAGAACTCAGAAAAAGCCGTGAAGTTCACAGAGGTGCTGGAGCCACCAACAGAGAGAACTACAATCTGGTCCCTGGTGAGATGAACACACCAGAGACCCGTGGTCAGGGCACTCTTTATGTGACACTGGCCTGGCCAGGCACCATGTCCACTAGGAAAGGAGAAAGGGTATTTTATGAGTATTTAGAATAGAATAGTTACCCCTACATTGCCATTCTGATTTGTGGAAAATGAGTCATTCCAAGCTAGTCTAATATCCTTTTTCATATGAAAGCCATGAACCAATGAGCTTGATTGAAATAAAATGTTTAAGAACCTCTATGTACTCGAGGATGCTTCTCCAGTTCGGAGAGTTTGCAGCAAATTAAATATCCATATCTTAAGAAGGAAAGGTTGATTAATGATTGTGTACTTGGCGGGGGAAATTCTAGTAACTTGTCCTGTGTTCTGTCCATTGCTCATTAACTTCCTCAATGAAACACAGAAGACAAGCTTATAAAATATGCTTGTGACACAAAACTGGAAGGGATATGTAATATGTGGAATGACAAAACCTATATAAAATTATCTCACCAACTAGAATGCTGGTTTAAGCCCAACAACTTGAAATTTAAGAAAACCAACCATGAGGCCCTATGTTTACATCTAAAGAGAGAGACTAAGGAAGTCATATCACAAAGATGCCGGGATTCTAGTGGATCTTTATCTTAATAAGAGCCAGGTATATATTTTCTAAAAGATCTGGCCCAAATTTAAGTGCTATTAATAATAGTATTACATACAAAGTAAGGAATGGCATAACCCCTACTAGTACTATATGGCTCCAATCATATCAGGAGCCATTGTAGTTTTGAAAGCCATGATCTATTAGTACATGAACAGAAGGTATATTCAGGATGGGTTGGGACCAGCAGGAAGTCCTACTGGTTCATTGGACGAGACAGCAGTCCTTAAAATGGCCAGTTCTCTTCATCATGTTCTCCACTTCCTGTTTCTTTACTCCACACTTCCCTTGCTTTCTTGGTTGTACAAAATTCCCTTCTACATCAGGACTTCCAATATTCTATCTTCTGTTCCTGGAAAGCACTCTATTTCCATTGTAAACACATTTTACTGTTCTTGTGCTATATCACTCAGCCTGCTTTCTTTTCTGGTAACAACACATATCATTTATTTTAAAAATCACTCCTTCACCACTCTCAGTACATTGGTTAGAGCATGCTGGCTGTGCACAGTTCTCATTGGTTAAGTCTATCCTCTGCCAAGCCCCCACTTCATCACCACCACCAACCCCCATCACCATCTAGTCCTTGACCTTACCTTAAATTTAAAGATGGCCTAACCCCCCAACTTGCTGTAAGGAGATGGAATTCGGACTGAATTTTCAGGGAGAAAGACACTCTCTTAAACCCCACAGCACTGTCCAATATCAGGAGAGTCACAGGATACAGCACGAATGGAACCCATGGAATTACGTGAGGTAGTGCACCTGCTCATCCTTTCGGGCATTTAGAAATCCTCTCAGCTATGTCAATCACATAATAAAAGGGCATGCCTTAGAAAATAGTCCAGAGAAAGGGGAGCAGAAGAGAGAAACTGACTTGGGGATCTAGCCAGATATCCCTAAAGCTAGTTTAATTCTCTAAATTTTCCACTTACAGGTACTAACACATTCTCTTCTCTCTTTTTAGAGAAATGTTTGAATTTGGTTTTCTGTCTTTGCAACCTGTTTGATACAAACCCTGACCTCCTCTACCCTTTCTCATCAATCCTCTCAACTGGCTAATTCTTATGTATATTTAGGGTTTCAACTTCTTAAAAATTATTTGATTATTTGGTTATTTTTATTTATTTGAAAGACAGAGAGACAATGAGAGAGAGAAAGAGAGACAAAAAATATTCCATCTTCTGCTTCACTCCCTAAATGCCTTCAACAGCTAGGGCTGTGCTATGCTGAAGTAGGAGACTGAAACTCCATCCAGTTCTCCCCTGTGAGCACCAGGAACCCTGGTACCTGAGCTATTATTTGTTGCCTCACAGGGTGTGCATTAGTCAAAATTTGGAATCAGAAGTAGAGTTGGGACGTGAACTCAGGCACTGTGATATGAAATGCAGGTGTCCCAAGAAGCATCTTAACCACTGCGTCAAACACCCGCCTCTTAGGGTCTCATCTTACATGTCACGTTCCCTGAAAGCAGTTGCTAACTTCTCAGATTCCTCTTCTTAGCGCCCAGACCTTCTCTGTGACACTTGAACGACTGCAATCTCACAGATTTCTGTGGAGTCATTTGTTTAAAGTCTGTCTTTACTACTAAGCTCTCAGCTCCATGAGGGGACAGATTGTATCTGTTGTGTTTGTGCTGTATCCATAGCGTCCGGACATTGCCCAACACAGAGAGTCCCTAATGATTATCGCTAAATGAATGAAAAGTTTGAGGGGATAAATGAGGGATGCGTTCAAACATTTGAATGCAACTCATATGGAAGGATGTGTTCTGTGTTACATGAGAGGAGAAAACTTGGGTCAGAGAACAGAATCATAGGAAGACTGCATTTCAGTTCAATGCAACACCAATGGTTTCTATAACAGAAACTTTCGAAATAGGGAAAAACTGCCCTCCTCCAGTCACCTACCCCAATGTACACTGTTATATTATCAGGCATTAAAGAAGATACGGAAGGGCCCTCTGACCAACAGGTGATTGTTATGTTAATTAAGTATGGTGTTCACCACAGGATCACTAAGGGTGATTTCCAACTCTAATATTTTATTAGCCTATGATGATATAAAAGAGAAAAAATGATTTGCAGAGGCAAACAGAAGATAAGTCCAAATGCAAAACCAGAATATAGAAGAACAGAACAGTTCCCAGGGCACTTGAGGATCACTCCTGGATCAACTTTTCACCTGTGATTGGCAGCCCTATTTTCTTCTGCTTCCATCCTCCATCCACCCACAGGTAACTCAGACTCACATGAAACTCTGTGGTGATATCCCTGCTGGGATCTTCTATGACTCCCCTAAGAGTGGTCCACCGAAACTTAAAGATTGAGTTTTCTCTGCATCCCCTGCCCTTCAGCAAGTCTAACACTAGTAAACTCACCTGGGCCCTCCACAGCTCATCCCGCTCCTGGGCCACCCGCCAGTGAGTGTCGCCCATCATGGCAATGAACAGGTTGAGCATGAGCAGTGTGGCGATGATGGCGAAGGCGGCGTAGGTGATGCAGTACATGAAGGGCAGGTCCACACTGTAGTTGGCAGGGCCGTCGATGATGGTGAGGAACAGCTCAAAGGTGCTGAACAGTGCCGTGGGGTAGTCAGAGAATTCCCCCAGGTTGTTAGGGTCCTCTGTCTGGAAAGTGATATGGAACGCTGCTCCCCACCCCAGGGGGAGGACATGGAGATGGGGAAATGGAATTATCACAGTAAGTAAGAGCTTGAGCCTGGTTAGCATTCACTCCACCTCTGATACATTCGTCTCCACACTCCACATGTACACACAATTATATATCCATAAATGTGGTCAACTGTGAAACTCTCCAACCCTAAGATACCCTATGAGGAAGTTCATCACTCTGGATAATGATCATACTTAGCGACTTGTCAAAAAAAATTATGCCTCTGTGTGTGTATGTGTGCAATAAGTAACCTAACTGGTTTTTACATTTCAGAAAACCAAATATTTAACAGTCAAGTTGTTACAAGAATGCATGGAATCTCCAACAATTTTTAAAAGAATACGTGGAAAGCCTAAAAGGAGAACACCTTTTTATCTTGATGGCCTCTGGATAACCATCTACTCTGAGATTCCCTGGGTGAGCCTGGATCACCACAGAAAGGCATCCTTGTGCAGTGTGCAGCCTACAGAACGGGAGTGGGTATTGTATACTACTCTTTAAAGGGCTTCTCCACGTACAAGAACAAAAGCATAAGGTGGTTCCAAAAGCAGAAATAGGGTCTATGGCAAATCATGCTTCTTTCTTGAAGAAAGAAGCAAACACGATGACCAGTAAGCGATAGTTTGGGGGATTCTGGGTATGGAATGTCTGTAGAAGCTACTCTGTTATCATTACTGTACTTTGTGTATTTGTAGTCTATGCATGGAGGCAAATAAAACAGGGTGTGAAGAGAAGGAGCACCTAAAGGCTCAGGAGAGTGGAATTCACCAAACAGGCAGACTGTCAGAGCTAATCTTGTCATACTTTACACGTTGCTGTATTTTTCTCATCAACTGTTTTGAGGAAATCCTCCACTAAACAGGGCAATTCCTGAGGATAGTAACAGAGTCCTCTGTACCCTGTCACAGTCCTTTGAAATTGGTTTGGGGTGGTCTTCAAAGCCCTTCTAGTAGCTCTTGTCTGGTGGATGATCTTTGCAGACACTGAAGGCTGAAGTTAAGTCACTAGCTTTTACTCTTCAGATTTGGGCTTCCTCTTCACTCCCTCCATTAAAATTGCTTCTACTCATTACCATTCTATCCTTTGGTTCTTTCTCTACCTGTTTTCTCTTCCTGTGTTGTTTCTTTCTTTCACTGCCTGGTACTCTCCCACTGGGCCTTGACTGAGTTCCTGCTTGTCTCAGTTCTCCAAATCTCTCTCCAAAAGTATTCTTTCTCTGTCCCTTGTTGTAAAATGATTTCCTGATCTCTCAACCTTAAATGGCCATACATAAAAAAGGGACACTTCTATCTTACTGAATGCTTTATGTTTTTTCTTTTCAACAGTAAACACAGGAGAGATATTCTTCACATTGTCTGTTTGCCCACATAGTTTTCAGATCTACAACTGGCCAGTCTTTTCTGTTTAATGTCCCTCTCTCTCCAAAGACTTTTCTCTGTCTCTACTTTAGATGTCTTGCAGATCTATTAGTCAACATGAATGTTATTGGCCGAGAATCCATGAGTCTACCTTCTAGGTCAATCCATGTGGCCTTGACCCTACGGATATTAGTGGGTGCCTTACTTAGACTTACTTCCCAACAGGAAAATAAGCACACAGATAACAAAATGGAGTGAAAATGAGAACTTTGAGCAGGAGTGAGAGTGAACTTTCTGGAGAACTGAACTCAACGATCTAATGATGATAGAAGTAGCGCTTTTACCTGAGGCAAATCCCAGGATAACCACAGCCATTAGCCAGCAGAAACGCATTAGGTCTCCAAAAATCATCTACCGAAAATAGAGGAAAGGAACAAAGGTGGGGTGACCCTCTACTGTCTCTGGTCAGCTGTCATTAACAGATCAGGGGTCCCATACTTCTACCAGCTTTATTCTGAGCAGCTACTCCTGTCTGTACCTACCCACCCCTCCCTCCAGGAAAGTCCTGTAGCTGAACCAGAGGAAAGTTGGGGAAACACTGACCTTCTGGATCATGATGGTGAATGGGCCTAGCATCTGGAATCCTCGAGCAAAGTACATGACACTGCACCAGCCCAGCACCAGGGCAAAGGATAAGGGGACCACCTCCCCATTCATGTTGGTGAGCCGCATGACCATGGTCAGGAGCACCAGGGAAGCGTAGGTGATACTGGGGGCGGGAGAGGGGAGAGCAGGCAGTGAGAAGTGGAATAGGAATATTCCAGGTCCCCTACAGCATGGTGGTGACTTGGTGGTATCCCACATATATCCCACACAAGCTTGATCTTAACACCTAAAATACACATATAGTCATTCACATAAGCCCATTGGAGAGAAATTCCCTGTGTGAGGGTCACCTGGGGCCTAAATCCCATAGGATGAACTGGAGACCTGGAGCAATTCTGAGTAGAGGCAGAGGGCTAGAAGGAGGAGACACTCACATGATGACATGGAAGGGTCCCCCGAGGATGGTCTGTCCAAAATAGCGAGAGGCACCAACTCTGAAAATGTCTGGGATCTAGGAAGAGGCCAGTGTAGACCTCAGCCTGTGGCCTCAGGTGGATGCCCTCGGCCAAGGTCCCACCTGCACTCACCTCTAGGAGCAGAATGATCACAGCCCCTGTCACGGTCACCAGCTCTCCTACCAGTCGGATGTTATCCTGGTGAGTCACGTAGGCCTCCTATGGGGGAATCCAGGATGAGAATTTTTGATGGGATCCCCTTACTGCCACCATCACCATGATCCCCAGTCTACTTTCCATATGGCTAACTCTGACCAGGGCATGAATCTAATCATGAAAAATTTCATGTATGTTCATATGCTAATGGCTTGAGCTGCCATCCAGCAATGTCATATATGTGTGAGAGTGTTTTATGATGTATGTACTGAGCTGTTGAGGACACATTTCAGAGCATTGGGTAAAGAAGGCTAAACCAATGGGAAGAGTTTAGTGCCTTGGGATGGTTTCACCTATCCACAAAGCTCAGCTTTTCCAAACTCATTGTGGCTCCCAATGGGTAGAACACACTGTCAGTGTATAAAAAAATATTGAGGTTCCAGGATGGGCCCAGCCATGACCAGTTAGCTCTCGTGAGACCTTGAACATGTTGTTGAAGACCTTAGAACCTGAGGTTTTCTCATCTATAAAATAGAGACATTAATGCTTAGCTCCCAGGGTTACCATAGAGGTCACTTTAGATGATGTATTTGGATGGACTTCATAAATTATAAAGCACCATAAACACAATAATTGTGGTTTTAGTATGATTTGGCAATATAGAATAGGGCAAAAATGGGGCAAGAGACACTATATGGATTTTACTTCTGAAGAAGGGCCCCTGCTCCTCTGTCTTGAGTAGCAGACTTAGAAAGAATAGCGCTAGACCAAGGTAAGACGAAGGCCAACCTACTTCAGTGAAAGTTATTACACAGGGGTAGTAAGAGAATTCAACGTCAACAATCCTCAACTTTTTTTAATTGCTGATCTGTGGACTCTCTTTCTGGAAAACTGTTCTTGTATACACAATTCCCACTATGAAATTGTACAAGTAAATTCAACACATTCATTCATTTTTAGGCTGCTTTTAGAGTTCTTTTTTGTCCTTAGTTCTAAAAACTATCCATGAATTCCCTCTTTTTGGTTTGTGGACGGCTGTTTATTTAATGTTTCTATAGCATCTGACTGTTATTGCAAAACATGCCAACTCCTTTTGAGAGTCAGGCAGTGCTACGGTTCAGATATGCTTTGAGTGTCCCCAGGTGTTCATCTGTTGAAATTTAATCTCCATTGTGAGGTATTCAGAGGGTGAAAACTTAATCCAACTCTGGTGTTTAGAGGTGGGGCCCTTGAAAAGTGATTGGGATTGGGTAGAATCACTGGGGTGAGGCCCCCAAGGCTGAACACTGGAAGAGTGGAAGAGATCAGATGAGACACACATGTGTACCAACTATCTCTCACCATGTGATATCCTGCACCACCTCTGGACTCTGCCAGCAGGAAGTCCATTATCAGATGCAAGTCTTCAACCTGAGTCTAAAGCTATGGACCATAATAAAACCTCCTCTCTTTACAAAGTCACCAAGTCTTAGGTATTTTGTGAAATAATGAAAAATAAACCAATACAGGTAGTAAGTAAAACAATAAATGAGAAGTATGTTAACTTTTGAAACAAAATAACCTTAAATATGGAAATAAGATAACTACATTCATGCTACATATATATCTGCATAAAATTTTTGTAAATATTAAAACTTTTTATTTTGGTTGTGTGTGTCTGAAAAAATGCTACCAACCTTTCTCAGGAAGAACAGGCACTTTGCACAAGTTGCCTGGGAGGGCTGTGAAGATCAGAGTGCCCCTAGAGGCCAGCAAGGGAGTGTCACCAGTTGTTGCCTCTAGCCAAAAATGTGAAACCACGACTAACGGAAACCACTCAGAACAGTTCTGGTCACCAGAATCCCCTGCTGGCTTCCCCTCTCCAGCTCCTCTGTGTTTTCAATGGATTCCTTCACATGCAGGCACTCCTCCGCACAAGTTCACCAGCGAGTGATCACATGGTGCAGAAAACCCAAGCTTTTGCCTGAGACCTGCCTGGTCTGTGACTGCCCTGGAGTGGTCGCCTCCAGCACTCTGTCCCCAGGAGTCCCCTTCCTTACTCCAGGCTGCAGAGGACCCAGCAGCTCCCTTACTTGCTGCCCACCAAGAGCAGCAGAGGTATTTTGTAGGGTTTTGTTGCTGTTTTTTTTCTCAATTACTCTCTCTAGAAAACAAACAAAAAAGTAAGCACGTGAAAGTTGCAGTGAAAGTAATGAGAGTGTTGGGCTTTTAAAACACTGCTTTTCTTCTTATTTTAAGGGGAACTGTTGTGTTTCTCATTGATACAGAATGCTACCTCTTGGGTTAGAATAGATACCCTTTGCAAGATTAAAAAAGAGTTTAGTGTTTTTAAAATGGAAAGGGTCATTGAACGTTCATGGTTGACTTTCTGATGCCTACCAAAGTGATTCTCTCTTTTTTTAAAAAAATAATTATTTATGTATTTGAAAGCAGGAGTGAGAGAGAGAGAGAATCTTCCACCTGCTGGTACACTGTCCAGATGGCTATAATAGGCATGGGATGGACTAGGTTGGACCCAGGACCCAGGAGCCTTAACCAGGTCTCTCACGTGGGTGGCAGGGTCCCAAGCACTTGCACCTTCTTGTGCTGTTTTCCAAGGCCATCAGCAGGGAGCTGTATCAGAAGTGGAGCAGCCAGGATAGAACCTGGTGCCCATATGGGATGTCAGTGTCGCAGGCGGCAGCTGAACCCGCTATGCCACAATGCCAGCTCTGGGGATTCTCTTTTAATCAACTTCCCTTGAGCCTCTGGAATTAAGCCTGAATGAATTTTCCTTTTAATTTTTAGAATTTTATTCTTAGGGGATTTTCTGTCTATATAGAGAGGCTGATCGGCGGTTCT